ACTGAGAACTAAATAAAATACAACAGACAAACCTGAGAACTAAACAAAATACAACAAACACTGAGAACTAAATAAAATACAACAGACAAACCTGAGAACTAAACAAAATACAACAAACACTGAGAACTAAATAAAATACAACAGACAAACACTGAAAACTAAACAAAATATAACAGACAAACCTGAGAACTAAACAAAATACAACAAACACTGAGAACTAAATAAAATACAACAGACAAACACTGAAAACTAAAAAAAATATAACAGACAAACCTGAGAACTAAACAAAATACAACAAACACTGAGAACTAAATAAAATACAACAGACAAACACTGAAAACTAAACAAAATATAACAGACAAACCTGAGAACTAAACAAAATACAACAAACACTGAGAACTAAATAAAATACAACAGACAAACACTGAAAACTAAACAAAATACAACAAAATAATGCTGAAGAAACAATAGCACAGTAGGAAAAAAAACAACACACACACAGTGGACCCAATGGCACAGTAGAAACAATGGCACTGTAGAGACAATGGCACAGTAGAAACAATGATACAGTAGAAACAATGGCACTGTAGAGACAATGGCACAGTAAAAACAATGATACAGTAGAAACAATGGCACTGTAGAAACAATGATACAGTAGAAACAATGGCACTGTAGAGACAATGGCACAGTAGAAATAATGATAAAGTAGAAACAATGGCACTGTAGAGACAATGGCACAGTAAAAACAATGATACAGTAGAAACAATGGCACTGTAGAAACAATGATACAGTAGAAACAATGGCACTGTAGAGACAATGGCACTGTAGAGACAATGATACAGTAGAAACAATGGCACTGTAGAGACAATGGCACAGTAGAAACAATGATACAGTAGAAACAATGGCACAGTAGAAACAATGATACAGTAGAAACAATAATACAGTAGAAACAATGGTACTGTAGAGACAATGGCACAGTAGAAACAATAATACAGTAGAAACAATGATACAGTAGAAACAATGGTACTGTAGAGACAATGGCACAGTAGAAACAATAATACAGTAGAAACAATGATACAGTAGAAACAATGGCACTGTAGAGACAATGGCACAGTAGAAACAATGATACAGTAGAAACAATGGCACTGTAGAGACAATGGCACAGTAGAAACAATGATACAGTAGAAACAATGGCACTGTAGAGACAATGGCATAGTAGAAACAATGATACAGTAGACACAATGGCACAGTAGAAACACTGGCACAGTAGAAATAATGATACAGTAGAAACAATGGCACTGTAGAGACAATGGCACAGTAAAAACAATGATACAGTAGAAACAATGGCACTGTAGAAACAATGGCACAGTAGAAATTTTGACCTGACAGTGCAAGGATACACATGGGCGTCCGAGCTTACTCCCCAGAGACCAGGGGAAATTACTAGAAGTCCACATTAAAAAATCCCAGCCTTCACAGGGGCTTGAACCTGGGACCTCGAGCACTCGAAGCAGACACCAGATTAGATTTAACACTACCTTGGTTTATGGGAGTTAAGACTAACAAAGAAAAAAAGAAAAGGACATGAGCCAATCTCTGTACACCATGTTTAATCCATTCCCAAAAAAAAAATGTTTTAATAAATGTTGAAACATGCATGAGAAGACCAGCCTCCCATACCGGCAGGTCACTCTGATAAACATGAGACAGACTCTCATCCTGACATGTCACTCTGATAAACATGAGACAGACTCTCATCCTGACATGTCTGATAAACATGAGACAGACTCTCATCCTGATGTGTCACTCTGATAAACATGAGACAGACTTTCATCCTGACATGTCACTCTGATAAACATGAGACAGACTCTCATCCTGACATGTCACTCTGATAAACATGAGACAGACTTTCATCCTGACATGTCATTCTGATAAACATGAGACAGACTTTCATCCTGATATGTCACTCTGATAAACATGAGACAGACTCTCATCCTGACATGTCATTTTGACAAACATGAGACAGACTCTCATCCTGATATGTCACTCTGATAAACATGAGACAGACTCTCATCCTGACATGCGACTCTGATAAACATGGGACAGACTCTCATCCTGACATGTCACTCTGATAAACATGGGACAGACTCTCATCCTGACATGTCACTCTGATAAACATGGGACAGACTCTCATCCTGACATGTCACTCTGATAAACATGGGACAGACTCTCATCCTGACATGTCACTCTGATAAACATGAGACAGACTCTCATCCTGACATGTCTGATACACATGAGACAGACTCTCATCCTGATGTGTCACTCTGATAAACATGAGACAGACTTTCATCCTGACATGTCACTCTGATAAACATGAGACAGACTCTCATCCTGATGTGTCACTCTGATAAACATGAGGCAGAGTCTCATCCTGACATGCAACTCTGATAAACTTAAGACAGACTTTCATCCTGACATGTCTGATAAACATGAGACAGACTCTCATCCTGATGTGTCACTCTGATAAACATGAGACAGACTTTCATCCTGACATGTCACTCTGATAAACATGAGACAGACTCTCATCCTGACATGTCACTCTGATAAACATGAGACAGACTCTCATCCTGATGTGTCACTCTGATAAACATGAGACAGACTCTCATCCTGATGTGTCACTATGATAAACATGAGACAGCCTTTCATCCTGACATGTCATTCTGATAAACATGAGACAGACTTTCATCCTGATCTGATATGTCACTCTGATAAACATGAGACAGACTCTCATCCTGACATGTCATTTTGACAAACATGAGACAGACTCTCATCCTGACATGTCACTATGATAAACATGAGACAGACTTTTATCCTGACATGTCACTCTGATAAACATGAGACAGACTCTCATCCTGACATGTGACTCTGATAAACATGAGACAGACTCTCATCCTGACATGTCACTCTGATAAACATGAGACAAACTCTCATCCTGACATGTGACTCTGATAAACATGGGACAGACTCTCATCCTGATGTGTCACTCTGATAAACATGAGACAGACTTTCATCCTGACATGTCACTCTGATAAACATGAGACAGACTCTCATCCTGATGTGTCACTCTGATAAACATGAGGCAGAGTCTCATCCTGACATGCAACTCTGATAAACTTAAGACAGACTTTCATCCTGACATGTCTGATAAACATGAGACAGACTCTCATCCTGATGTGTCACTCTGATAAACATGAGACAGACTTTCATCCTGACATGTCACTCTGATAAACATGAGACAGACTCTCATCCTGACATGTCACTATGATAAACATGAGACAGACTCTCATCCTGATGTGTCACTCTGATAAACATGAGACAGACTCTCATCCTGATGTGTCACTATGATAAACATGAGACAGCCTTTCATCCTGACATGTCATTCTGATAAACATGAGACAGACTTTCATCCTGATCTGATATGTCACTCTGATAAACATGAGACAGACTCTCATCCTGACATGTCATTTTGACAAACATGAGACAGACTCTCATCCTGACATGTCACTATGATAAACATGAGACAGACTTTTATCCTGACATGTCACTCTGATAAACATGAGACAGACTCTCATCCTGACATGTGACTCTGATAAACATGAGACAGACTCTCATCCTGACATGTCACTCTGATAAACATGAGACAAACTCTCATCCTGACATGTGACTCTGATAAACATGGGACAGACTCTCATCCTGACATGTCACTCTGATAAACATGAGACAGGCTTTCATTTTGACGTGTCACTCGGAAAACATGAGAAAGACTCTCATTTTGACCTGTCATTCTGATTACCCCGGAACATTCTCTTGACATATACTTTAGCACATGCCAGAAGACCAACCACTCATGAAATTTCATTCTGACAAACCTGAGTCAGACTCTCGTCTTGAAATTAAAGTAACAAAAATGAGAAAACGCTTTCATTTTGACAAGTCAGTTTCCAACTCATGACACAAACTTTCATCTTGACACATTAAATATCAGCAAATGTGAGAAGACCAGCCTTTGTCCGGATGTTACTCTGAAAAATTTGAGATACACTCTCATACTGACAAAAACTCCGATTTTGACATGTCACGTTAACAAACACAAGACAGACTCTGATTTTGACATATCACTTCAGCAACTGTGAGAAGACCAGCCTCTGAACTAGACATATCACTTCAGCAACTGTGAGAAGACCAGCCTCTTAACTAGATATATAACTCATGCAAACATAAATAAAGCTTAAATACCATTAAGTCAAACATAATTACTGTCTTTAGTAATAAAGCAATTTTTTTTAAAGTCAAGGAATTCAAATCTTATTAAAGCCAAATGACACACATAAAAATGTATAGGATCAGTAAAACATACGGAAAACTATTTTATAACAAGAACATTAGGACCATTATTACAACAACAGCGGGCTGAAATCAAGCAGCAGGAGTCAGGCAGATTTGAAGCAGGAATGATACAAATGCAATCATCTTTCAAAACTGAATCACAAAAACAGAGGAAATCAATGCAACCAAATAAGTTGTGCAATAAAAGAAAAGCAAATAAAAAGTTAATATAAAACCTGACTGGAATAAAATCAGGGATCACTTTAAACAAAAAGTGAGAGCCATTTTAAACAGAATGAAATTTGTCAATCTGGGTTAAAAAATGCAAACGTTGTCAATGTGTTGAACCATACTTTAACGGAAGTAGTTTGTTGGGGGAGGAGGGAACAGCACAACTAAGAGGGTTGATAAGGCGACAAACAAACCAACAACAAACACCGTCAGAAGTATTGGCCCCAGGGGAAGCAATTTCTGTGCTGAGAATCAAGACAAGGGTGACAGCTCTTGAAAATGTCTATAAACTTTACATGCAAAATGGCGCATAAATTGATTGTGAGCTTATAAACAGTCACAGATGGAAGCAAGAGAAACCATGTGACCAGCAGCATACATATCTATTGGGTGATAAACTGTTTGTAATTCCTCAGCTTCTTGAAGCGTCGTCGGATCTCATAAATGAAGTCAGATGGTTGCACAACGAGGGATATTTCCCGACCAACAGCTGACAGTCGATGGTCAATCTGTGAACAATTCGAGGATCAAGCAGAGGTTATTCGATTAAACTGATACCAGCCCCTCCCCCTCCACATCTATGTTCAGCAAAGAGTGTCATGAACCTGCTTATCACCTTTACAGCAACAGCACACTGGCAGTTCTTCTTTTTCTTCTGCCTTTCCATCTCCCAGTGGAGCATAGGCCCTCAACCTACTCACGCCAAGTCATTCAATCTTTGCCATTACATGGAGCTCTCCCCATGTCCTCCCCATCTTTTTAACTTCATTCTCCAAATCTCTTCTCCATGTGTTTTTTGGCCTTCCTTTATTCCTATGCCCCTGTGGGCTCCAATGCAAAGACATTCTAGTTATGCTGTTCTCCTGTTTTCTCAGTGTGTGTCCTATCCAACGCCAGCCTCTTTTCCTCACCTCTTGATCCACTGGAGCCTGTTTAGTTCTCTCCCAAAGCCCTACATTATTTATTCTATCATACCGTTTAATTCCCTCTATTCTGCGCAGGCACCAGTTAATGAATGTCTGTAATTTATTAGTAATTGCCTTAGTTGTTCCCAGGTTTCCGCACCATACAAAAGTACTGACTTGACATTAAAATTAAAAATTTTTTGTTAAGTATTTCTTTTGACCTCCACAAATTCCCTAGTGTTATGAAAGCTCCTCTTGTCTTTTGTATTCTTATTTTAATATCTCTACCAGTTCCTCCATCTTTATCTACATTACTGCCCAAATCGGTGTACGACTCCACGTCTTGGAGTGGGGTGCTATTAAGAGAACCTACATTACTATTTGCCTGATTTATTCTTATGATCTTTATGGCAGTTCTATGACCATGATAACTAACCCAACCCCTCTGAAAACTCCCATCTACTTTAACTCTTTCAGGCCATGACTTGGCTCAGATTAATTTCGCTTTACAAAAATCACAGAGCGGGTAGTGTGAAAAAAAAAAAAAAAAGCAGCTGTGAATGTAACATATTTCTAATCCCTACAAAAGTATACATTTAAAAAAAAGAGGAATCAATGTACAGTTTGAGTCTGGTGATACGTTTACGTTCGTTCCATACTGTTAAAGTTAGTAGGGAAAAAAGAATTCACTAGGCGTTTTGCTTACAAAGACAACATTTTACCCAAAACATGTCAGTCGCTCACTATTATCACCTACAGTCGTCCCATAGCCACACAGGCTCTTGACAAATAGGAAAGGTTACAACTGTTATTACTCGCGCCCCAAGCAAAGAAAACAACATTTATGGCCATCTGCTATTTCAGACTTTTCTGACTTCCTCTCTTTGTTCAAAAATAAACTGTATCTGAGGTGTAGGAACGAGAACATAAAAACCTGGCGAACGTAAAAATAAAAACAGTGCTGTTGCTCAGTATTCAAAAACTAAAACTGTGCTGTTGCTCAGGATTCAAAAACTAAAACCGTGCTGTTGCTCAGTATTCAAAAACTAAAACCGTGCTGTTGCTCAGTATTCAAAAACTAAAACTGTGCTGTTGCTCAGTATTCAAAAACTAAAACTGTGCTGTTGCTCAGTATTCAAAAACTAAAACCGTGCTGTTGCTCAGTATTCAAAAACTAAAACCGTCCTGTTGCTCAGTATTAAAAAACCATCAGAGTACTAAGAATGAGAAGATGAAAAGGTGGTGCTGTTCAGTGTTCAAAGATCATATCTGAGTACAAAGAATTTAAACATAAAAAGGTGCCACTGTTTAGTGTTAACAAATATCCACTGTAAAATGACAAGTCAACACAGATGCAGTTGCTCACCTCATCATCCTTGAAGAACAAACTGAGAGGTCGGTTATTGATCTCCACCAGAAACCAGTTGCATCGGCCGGTTCCACAAACACTTTGTGCGTACGGTGTCAGACCGTGCTGGGCAGCCAGACCATTGGGATCCACATAGATAATCTACAACATAACAGTGACTGTTGCACATTCTTCTACAATATAACAGTGACTGTTGCACATTCTTCTACAACATAACAGTGACTGCTGCACATTCTTCTACAACATAACAGTGACTGTTGCATTTTCTTCTACAACATAACAGTGACTGTTGCACTTTCTTCTACAACATAACAGTGACTGTTGCACTTTCTTCTACAAAAAAACAGTGACTGTTGCACTTTCTTCTACAACATAACAGTGACTGTTGCACTTTCTTCTACAACATAACAGTGACTGTTGCACTTTCTTCTACAACATAACAGTGACTGTTGCACTTTCTTCCACAACATAACAGTGACTGTTGCACTTTCTTCTACAACATAATAGTGACTGTTGCACTTTCTTTTACAACGTTACAATGACTGTTGCACATTCTTCTACAACATAATAGTGACGTTTGCACTTTCTTCTACAACATAACAGTGACTGTTGCCCATTCTTCTACAACATAACAGTGACTGTTGCACTTTCTTTTACAACATAACAGTGACTGTTGCACTTTCTTTTACAACATAACAGTGACTGTTGCACATTCTTCAACAACATAACAGTGACTGTTGCACATTCTTCTACAACATAACAGTGACTGTTGCACATTCTTCTACAACATAACATTGACTATTGCACATTCTTCTACAACATAACAGTGACTGTTGCACATTCTTCTACAACATAACAGTGACTGTTATATGTTCACCTACAACACGGCTGTTCAAATAAGTTAACTCAGGGACCAACAATTTGAGATAGGAAATCTTCATGGGCCAGATGCCTGAGTCCACAGCATAGAGAGATCATCGATACAACTGACCAGCAATGATCCATGGGTCATCTGATAAAGCTTTGCAGGTCAAATTTGGCTCACAGATCACCAGCTATATAGCCTTGGTCAACAACACAATACTGACTGCTTATGTTAATCTACAACATAACACTAATTTTCATCTACAACATAACTCTTGTATATTCATCTACAACATAACTCTTGTATATTCATCTACAACATAACTCTTGTATATTCATCTTCAACATAACAGTGACTACTGTGGTCCATATCTAAGAATCTTCCTAATACTAACATTAGATTACTAGGGTCGATACGGACACTAGGCACGGCCACTGTTTTGAGCCGTGGCAAAGATTTTGCTTCTGACTGTAGACTGAAAGAATATAGTTTCGTCACCCAGCTACTAAGTTAAGTGCATGGTGTGACCCAGTGAGCTGCGGATTTCATTTGGAATGTTTCTCGTCTGTGACCAACATGGTGTTGTGAGTTGTAGATTCATAAAATGGCGCGTGGCCTGTTGTCACAATATTGGTGGTGCCTTTATGTGATTAAAATTAGTCACATGTGCAACTGCTGATTAGTTGGTTACCTCTGCTACCATCGATGATGAACTGTATTTCTAATGTCGGACTGCTTGTGTTAGCACTTCTGATGGCAATCGTATGCTTTCAATGCGTGTGTATGCTAGTGCATTTGCTGATACAGCAGTCTGTCAATCTCTCCACAAGGGACTGTGAAGAACATTCTATGTGTTTTTCATTTGCACAAGAGCGGAGCAACTATGGGTTGACCTGTTTGCTATGAAGCTGAAACTAACATAACATAACATAACATAGCATAACATTAGATTACTGTTTATAATATTGCACAGTGCTCCTGGACACTCTTAATTCTAGAGGTACCAACACAATCAAACTTGTAGATTTGTCTTTCTCCAGAGAAATTGTTAAAACAAAAGACAAAAATCAAACTTGTAGATTTCTCTTTCTCCAGGGAAATGGTTGAAACAAAAGACAACAATCAAACTTTTAGATTTCTCTTTCTCCAGGGAAATGGTTGAAACAAAAGACAACAATCAAACTTTTAGATTTCTCTTTCTCCTGGGAAACCGCTGAAACAAAAGACAACAATCAAACTTTTAGATTTGTCTTTCTCCTGGGAAACTGCTGAAACAAAAGATAACTGGTATGTAGAGTCTCCAGTGACAATGTTCAAATAAACTGACAGAATATTTCTATATGCTGAGAGCTGTTATGCAGAAACTGACCAAATCTCTGTAGATGTGAAGAAACTGACCAAATCTCTGTAGATGTGAAGAAACTGACCAAATCTCTGTAGATGTGAAGAAACTGACCAAATCTCTGGAGATGTGAAGAAACTGACCAAATCTCTGTAGATGTGAAGAAACTGACCAAATCTCTGTAGATGTGAAGAAACTGACCAAATCTCTGTAGATGTGAAGAAATAATCTTTAGATTCTGAGAACGGATGTGCTACTCATAAAGCAAACGCTACTGACCTCCCCTGTGCCTCCATTGCGTTTGATTCCAAGACTCTGGCCCTCTGCACTTCTGTGGATGGCAAACACTTGAGCATAAGGCATCCTGTGGAGCATGAGCTCAATGTTGGAGGAAGGCGCCTGTTTGAGCAGCTTCTGGGCAGTGTCAGCACTTGTGACCCGGGACCCGTTTACACTGAAGACTAGGTCGCCCAAATGTAGCTTGCCATGGAGACTGGGGAAATCCTTCTGATTCCATCCCACCACACTGAAAGCCAGGGGAAAAATACTCTCTATGACATTAAAACCAAAAAAAGCATTTTTACCAAATTTAGAAACAAGATTCTCCCACTCTAACAAATTCACATTGTTAAAACATAATGACATTCAATAACAGCTCAATAACAATAATAAATACACTGCTACAGACACAGTCATGACTAGACCTCATGTCTGCAGCCTGTCACTTTGAGATATCCTGAATCTCACTCACTCACAAGAAACCCTCCACAATATCTTGTGAAAAACTCTCTAGACCTCATGTCTGCGGCCTGTCACTTTGAGATATCCTGAATCTCACTCACTCACAAGAACCCTCCACAATATCTTGTGAAAAACTCTCTAGACCTCATGTCTGCGGCCTGTCACTTTGAGATATCCTGAATCTCACTCACTCACAAGAAACCCTCCACAATATCTTGTGAAAAACTCTCTAGACCTCATGTCTGCGGCCTGTCACTTTGAGATATCCTGAATGTCACTCACTCACAAGAAACCCTCCACAATATCTTGTGAAAAACTCTCTAGACCTCATGTCTGCGGCCTGTCACTTTGAGATATCCTGAATCTCACTTACTCACAAGAAACCCTCCACAATATCTTGTGAGAAACTCTCTAGATCTCATGTCTGCGGCCTGTCACTTTGAGATATCCTGAATCTCACTCACTCACAAGAAACCCTCCACAATATCTTGTGAGAAACTCTCTAGACCTTATGTCTGCGGCCTGTCACTTTGAGATATCCTGAATCTCACTCACTCACAAGAAACCCTCCACAATATCTTGTGAGAAACTCTCTAGACCTCATGTCTGCGGCCTGTCACTTTGAGATATCCTGAATGTCACTCACTCACAAGAAACCCTCCACAATATCTTGTGAGAAACTCTCTAGACCTCATGTCTGCGGCCTGTCACTTTGAGATATCCTGAATGTCACTCACTCACAAGAAACCCTCCACAATATCTTGTGAGAAACTCTCTAGACCTCATGTATGCGGCCTGTCACTTTGAGATATCCTGAATCTCACTCACTCACAAGAAACCCTCCACAATATCTTGTGAAAAACTCTCTAGACCTCATGTCTGCGGCCTGTCACTTTGAGATATCCTGAATGTCACTCACTCACAAGAAACCCTCCACAATATCTTGTGAAAAACTCTCTAGACCTCATGTCTGCAGCCTGTCACTTTGAGATATCCTGAATCTCACTCACTCACAAGAATCCCTCCACACTATCTTGTGAAAAACTCTTTAGACCTCATGTCTGCGGCCTGTCACTTTGAGATATCCTGAATCTCACTCACTCACAAGAAACCCTTCACAATATCTTGTGAAAAACTCTCTAGACCTCATGTCTGCGGCCTGTCACTTTGAGATATCCTGAATCTCACTCACTCACAAGAAACCCTCCACAATATCTTGTGAAAAACTCTCTAGACCTCATGTCTGCGGCCTGTCACTTTGAGATATCCTGAATCTCACTCACTCACAAGAAACCCTCCACAATATCTTGTGAAAAACTCTCTAGACCTCATGTCTGCGGCCTGTCACTTTGAGATATCCTGAATCTCACTCACTCACAAGAAACCCTCCACAATATCTTGTGAAAAACTCTCTAGACCTCATGTCTGCGGCCTGTCACTTTGAGATATCCTGAATCTCACATCACCAACTCATCTTGCTGGAACCTTGTTACCGTGGCAACTCCCGTAGATAACATGAACACTTGATTTTGTTATCCAGAGTGACACATAGGACACAAGACTAGCCTGACAACACCCAGACTAGAATATTGATTCAAAAATGTCAACAGAGCTCCTTAGTACAGCGCTACAATGGTGCACTTAAGAGCAACATCAGTTCTCAGAAGCTCTTGGCGGTGCGTCCTTCCTCTCAGAAACAACTTTATTTTGACAGAGGCAAGCCATTCTGAGGGCTCTGGCAGCCAGAACAATGATACACCAAAACTAAGGGTTAGAACTCACACTCTTTCACATGACATAAAGCCAGCCAATCAGCATGCATTATAATCTAAACCATAGCATTATCATAAAAAAATTACATAAAAATTTTTTTTAAAATGAAACAGAAGACAACAACCCACCAAGAGAAGCTGTTCCAGTCCACCAGCGCGATGCCATGTCCAGCTTTCTGTGTGATTGTCAAGGTCACATTTGGCAAGGAGATTTCCGTCTGCAAGATGTCCGCCTGTGTCTGCTTGAGAGAGACCACGGTGTGCAGACTGTGAGCCCGGTCCAGCAACATCGTCCTGGACAATCTGGAGACATTGCCGGCTTGTTCTGTGGTGGACATAACAGTCATCAAATGTTTATATCCAATACAGCAACAGCTAGTTTTTCATTTTATCATACATCATTAACAGTTAGTTCTTCATTTTATCATACATCATCAACAGTTAGTTCTTCATTTTATCATATTTCATCGACAGTTAGTTCTTCATTTTATCATATATCATCGACAGTTAGTTCTTCATTTTATCATACATCATATACAGTCAGTTCTTCATTTTATCATACATCATCTACAGTCAGTTCTTCATTTTATCATACATCATCTACAGTCAGCTCTTCATTTTATCATACATCATCTACAGTCAGTTCTTCATTTTATCATACATCATCTGCAGTTAGTTCTTGATTTCATCATACATCATCTGCAGTTAGTTCTTCATTATATCATACATCATCTGCAGTTAGTTCTTCATTTTATCATATATCATCAACAGTTAGTTCTTCATTTTATCATACATCATCTGCAGTTAGTTCTTCATTTTATCATACATCACCTGCAGTTAGTTTTTCATTTTATCATACATCATCTGCAGTTAGTTCTTCATTTTATCATACATCATCTACAGTCAGCTCTTCATTTTATCATACATCATCTACAGTCAGTTCTTCATTTTATCATACATCATCTGCAGTTAGTTCTTGATTTCATCATACATCATCTGCAGTTAGTTCTTCATTATATCATACATCATCTGCAGTTAGTTCTTCATTTTATCATATATCATCAACAGTTAGTTCTTCATTTTATCATACATCATCTGCAGTTAGTTCTTCATTTTATCATACATCACCTGCAGTTAGTTTTTCATTTTATCATACATCATCTGCAGTTAGTTCTTCATTTTATCATACATCATCTGCAGTCAGTTCTTCATTTTATCATACATCATCTACAGTTATTTCTACATTTTATCATACATCATCGACAGTTAGTTTTTCATTTTATCATTCATCATCTACAGTTAGTTTTTCATTTTATCATACATCATCTACAGTTAGTTTTTCATTTTATCATATATCATCTACAGTTAATTCTGCATTTTATAATACATCATCGACAGTTAGTTCTTCATTTTATCATACATCATCGACAGTTAGTTTTTCATTTTATCATACATCATCTACAGTTAGTTCTTCATTTTATCATACATTATCGACAGTTAGTTCTTCATTTTATCATACATCATCGACAGTTAGTTTTTCATTTTATCATACATCATCTACAGTTAGTTCTTCCTTTTATCACACATCATCTACAGTTAGTTCTTCATTTTATCATACATCATTTACAGTTAGTTTTTTATTTTATCATACATCATCTACAGTATCACAATCATGAGAAGCACCAAAGTTCATCAGATAAGGGCAATCAGCACTCAGAGATTATTGGAGAAAATGTGTTTACACAAATGGCACTGAAACTGAATTCAGAAAATGAATTTGTGGATGAAATAAAACATCATTAAATACTGTTGCATTTCAGTTCGGAGCACCACCAAGGTGTCCGTGACATGGAGGTGCTGACCGTGACATGGAGGTGCTGGCCGTGACATGGAGGTGCTGGCCGTGACATCAAACATATGTCATAGAAATGTAGAATAAAACAGAAAGTGTACCCAGAGACAATACATTGAACACACAGGTACAAGGGTGTAGAACACAACACAGAACTGCATGAACACAGATTATACAATGAACATATCTTCTTCTTTGTTCAACTGGTTGTTCGTTTATTTAGACTTTGGCATTGTGCCAGGGTCTGAGTTTTGTATCTGCATCCATTTACTGGCTTATTTGTTTGGTTATGCCTTGCTGCTCGGGCAGATGCACACTGAGGGCAGATGCACACTGAGGGCAGATGCACACTGAGAGCAGATGCACACTGAGGGCAGATGCACACTGAGGACAGATGCACACTGAGGGCAGATGCACACTGAGGGCAGATGCACACTGAGGACAGATGCACACTGAGGACAGATGCACACTGAGGGCAGATGCACACTGAGGGCAGATGCACACTGACGTGGAAGGAAGCTCCCAATAAATCTACTCCTATGTACTCTTGTTACGGGGAGGGGGAGGGAGGGGGGGGGGTGGGTTTATTCATGTTTTCTCTACAATAGGGCCACCCAGAACCCATAATGGGGAACATAATACTGACTTCTATGTCACAGTACAAGAATGTTCAGTGTTGTCTTCTATGTCACAGTACAAGAATACTCAGTTTTGTCTTCTATGTCACAGTACAAGAATGTTCAGTGTTGTCTTCTATGTCACAGTACAAGAATACTTAGTTTTGTTTTCTATGTCACATCGGCTCTGCTAAGTCGATGTAAACGCTTTGTAATGCCTTGCGTTGGTTTCGACAGTGGTATCAAGAAAGCTGACCGTCCAGAAAGCAATGGCAAACTACTGGATGTAAATTTGCCTAAAAAAACCACACAACAGTCAGGGGTTGTTGGTGTTGTTTCTGCAACGTCCTGTAAAGGATACGCAACTAACCTTCTATGTCACAGTACAAGAATACTCAATAGTTTGTATGGATGGACAAGAATATTCATCTTTCTCTCTCTCTTTCTCTCTCATTCTTTTTCTATCCTCTATTTTTTTCTTTTTTCTGACTGGGTTTGTTTGGGGTTTTAGCTACAGTTACTACCGACTATGTGTTATCTGGTTTGCTCCCGAAACTAGAGAATGGTAGAATTCTTGCTTCACACAATGTAGCACACATTTACATGTATACAAACAAGAGCGCTGCACTCTAATGGCAATCTAAACACAAGCAGACAGGAGTCTCACCTGTCTGGGAACACCTGCTGGTGTCTGCAGTGAGCTCCCCTTCCTGAGACTGTAGGGATGTGTTCGAAGTCCGACTGTTGCTGCTTTCACTAGAGGTGATCTTACTACTAGACATCCCTGTAATCTGTGGTCTCTTGATGAAGAAGCTCTGAGAACTCCGTGATGGCAGAGCTGGTGGTTGGTCATCTACGCTTAAAGTGTTGTAGAGATTTGAACCTTTGTGCAGGACATCTCTTGACTCAGTGTTTGTGGTGCAGCTGCTTGGCAAAGATGCATGGAAGGAGTTTGTCTTGCGTGGAAGCAGAAGTGGAGGTGTGGTTTCAGAGGGAAGACTAGCGCATTTGTTAGAAGATGCTGCGTGGAAGGCTGACTGGACTAGAGAGGAAGCTGCTGGATTTTTGGCACTTGATGATGCTGCCCTGTGATCCTTCGGTGGGCTGGATGAGTGTGAATAGTGACCAGATGGTAGAGGAGGTATGGGCGGAGCTCTGGTTAATGGAGGCCCAGTGTCAAACACTAAACCATAAAAATTTTCATTTTCGTCCTTGGATGTCTCTGAATGATTATCTTTGGCTGATGGCAGCTGGGAAGGGGATGCTCCTCTGCTGTCATCCCCTTCAGCATTTAGCATATTGCAGTACTCAATCGAATGTTTGTGGTTTGTGTACACATCTCCACAACCGCCACCTTCATGGCCCCCCATACCAATATCAGCCAGGATACTAGTGCCAGCACTAAGAGAAACTGAGTTCTTGCAGTTGTCATCAGCATGCAAGTTTCTGTAAGTATCAGTTGTATGAGGCAGGTTGTTGTACATTTCTTCTCCTGCAGGAGGCAAGTTGTGTACATTGTTGTATATTTCCTCCCCTGGAGGAGGCAAGGTGTGTAAATTGTTGTACATTTCCTCCCCTGCAGGAGGCAAGGTGTGTAAATTGTTGTACATTTCCTCCCCTGGAGGAGGCAAGGTGTGTAAATTGTTGTACATTTCCTCCCCTGCAGGAGGCAACTCATGTACATTGTTGTACATTTCCTCCTCTGGAGGCGGCATGTTGTGTACATTGTTGTACATTTCCTCTCCTGGAGGAAAGTTTTGTCTATTGTTGTAGACCTCCACCGTAGGCCATGCACAAGAGCTGTCAGAGACTGTGACATTTGTGTTTTCATCTGCAGCAGAAGCAGTTTTGGAAGACACGTGAGAAGATGTTTTAGGCTTCGTCTTTCGTGGTAGTGCGACTGGCTTTTGCGTTTGCTGTACAACTGCCACAGCGAGATCATTGCTGTCAATAATTTCCCAAGGTGTTTCTTGTTGACAAGGAAAAAGGGAGTAGGTGTTTTCCACAGCCTCCTCAGATCTGATGGTGATATCAAGGGACTCAGGAGACTGAGGTGATGTGTATACTGCACAGACATTGTCCACACTTGCTGATGTGTCACTGGATGCTGAGATCTGTGAAAGTTCAAAGGTTGATGATGCTATCAAATGAGGTGGAATGCTGGGAGAAAGACTGTCACAGACTTCCATGTTGTGGTCCATATGAGACCTGCTCATATCAATGTAAATCTCAGTACAAGGTTCTGGCCATGTGTCACCTGTTGATTGACATTTTTCTGAGTCTAAAATGAGAGAATTCTGCCTATTTTTGGAGATGCCCCGCTGCAGAAGCAACTCTGCAATGACTTGAGGTGAGACAAAGTCACTGTCATTACTCCCATCAGTTCTCAACAACCATTTAAACAGACTGGATCACTGAGTCTCGTTACATAAAACATTTAAACAGACTGGATCTCTAAGTCTCGTTACAACAAACATTTAAACAGACTGGATCTCTAAGTCTCATTACAACAAACATTTAAACAGACTGGATCACTAAATCTCGTTACAACAAACATTTAAACAGACTGGATCACTAAGTCTCGTTTCAACAAACATTTAAACAGACTGAATCACTCAGTCTCGTTACAACAAACATTTAAACAGACTGGATCACTGAGTCTCGTTACAACAAACATTTAAACAGACTGGATCACTAAGTCTCGTTACAACAAACATTTAAACAGACTGGATCACTCAGTCTCGTTCGTTAACAACAAACAGACTTTAAAACAAACATTTAAACAGACTGGATCACTGAGTCTCGTTACAACAAACATTTAAACAGACTGGATCACTGAGTCTCGTTACAACAAACATTTAAACAGACTGGATCACTAAGTCTCGTTACAACAAACATTTAAACAGACTGGATCACTAAGTCTCGTTACAACAAACATTTAAACAGACTGGATCACTAAGTCTCGTTACAACAAACATTTAAACAGACTGGATCACTGAGTCTCATTACAACAAACATTTAAACAGACTGGAATCACTAAGTCTCGTTACAACAAACATTTAAACAGACTGGATCACTAAGTCTCGTTACAACAAACATTTAAACAGACTGGATCACTGAGTCTCGTTACAACAAACATTTAAACAGACTGGATCACTGAGTCTCATTACAACAAACATTTAAACAGACTGAGTCTCATCACTAAGTCTCACTGAAGTTACAACAAACATTTAAACAGACTGGATCACTAAGTCTCGTTACAACAAACATTTAAACAGACTGGATCACTAAGTCTCGTTACAACAAACATTTAAACAGACTGGATCACTAAGTCTCGTTACAACAAACATTTAAACAGACTGGATCATGAAGTCTCGTTACAACAAACATTTAAACAGACTGGATCACTAAATCTCGTTACAACAAACATTTAAACAGACTGGATCACTGAGTCTCGTTACAACAAACATTTAAACAGACTGGATCACTAAGTCTCGTTACAACAAACATTTAAACAGACTGGATCACTAAGTCTCGTTACAACAAACATTTAAACAGACTGGATCACTAAGTCTCGTTACAACAAACATTTAAACAGACTGGATCACTGAGTCTCGTTACAACAAACATTTAAACAGACTGGATCACTAAGTCTCGTTACAACAAACATTTAAACAGACTGGATCACTAAGTCTCGTTACAACAAACATTTAAACAGACTGGATCATGAAGTCTCGTTACAACAAACATTTAAACAGACTGGATCACCAAGTCTCGTTACAACAAACATTTAAACAGACTGGATCACCAAGTCTCGTTACAACAAACATTTAAACAGACTGGATCACCAAGTCTCGTTACAACAAACATTTAAACAGACTGGATCACTAAGTCTCGTTACAACAAACATTTAAACAGACTGGGTCACTAAGTCTCGTTACAAAAAACATTTAAACAGACTGGATCACTGAGTCTCATTACAACAAACATTTAAACAGACTGAATCACTCAGTCTCATTACAACAAACATTTAAACAGACTGGATCACTAAGTCTCGTTACAACAAACATTTAAACAGACTGGATCATGAAGTCTCGTTACAACAAACATTTAAACAGACTGGATCACTGAGTCTCATTACAACAAACATTTAAACAGACTGAATCACTCAGTCTCATTACAACAAACATTTAAACAGACTGGATCACTAAGTCTCGTTACAACAAACATTTAAACAGACTGGATCACCAAGTCTCGTTACAACAAACATTTAAACAGACTGAATCACTCAGTCTCGTTACAACAAACATTTAAACAGACTGGATCACTAAGTCTCGTTACAACAAACATTTAAACAGACTGGATCACCAAGTCTCGTTACAACAAACATTTAAACAGATGGCGTCACTATGTTTCATGACATAAGCATTTATACAGATTGAATAATAATTCTAAGATATAAATAGGTTAACAGCCAACATTCCTAAACTGACTGAAATTGACTGACATAAACTTCATGTCCAAATTCATAAACTGACTGAAATAATTTTCATGTCAAAATTCCTAAACTGACTGACATCACAACATTCCTAACTGACTGACATCACAACATTCCTAACTGACTGACATCACAACATTCCTAACTGACTGACATCACAATATTCCTAACTGACAATTTGACATCTTCATGTCAACATTCCAACTAGCTCAAAGTAAAAGTAATCTTCATGCTGGAACTGTGAACAAACTTATTTTCAACCATAAACAAACAGATACCACAATTTAAACCTCTCAAGAAACTGAACAAACTTATTTTCAACCATAAACAAACAGTTAGATACCACACTTTAAACTTCTCAAGAAAGCGTGAAATACCATATTTTCATCTAACTGTTAAATGACTTAAAGTGGGAGAAGGGAGAAATAAACAGGTGTCCTTGAAGAATACAAGATTTAAAAAATAAAAAGAGAGGTCAGAGGTTTACACCAAAGCCTGTTGTACTCATAATCTGCTGATGTAACTGCAGCATGTTACAGCACAACACTGACGTTGTAATGGGAGCATGTTACAGCACACTCGGATGTTGTAATGGGAGCATGTTACAGCACACACACTGATGTTGTAACTGTAGCATGTTACAGCACACACACTGATGTTGAAACTGTAGCACGTTACAGAACATAACCTGGTGTGATGGGAGCATGTTACAGAACATAACCTGATGTGATGGGAGCATGTTACAGAACAGAACCTGATGTGATGGGAGCATGTTACAGAACAAAACCTGATGTGATGGGAGCATGTTACAGAACATAACCTGATGTGATGGGAGCATGTTACAGAACATACCCTGATGTGATGGGAGCATGTTACAGAACATAACCTGATGTGATGGGAGCATGTTACAGAACATAACCTGATGTGATGGGAGCATGTTACAGAACATAACCGGATGTGATGGGAGCATATTACAGAACATACCCTGATGTGATGGGAGCATGTTACAGAACATAACCTGATGTGATGGGAGCATGTTACAGAACATAACCTGATGTGATGGGAGCATGTTACAGAATATAACCTGATGTGATGGGAGCATGTAACAGAATATAAAATGATGTTGTGATGGGAGCACAATACAGAACATAACCTGATGTGATGGGAGCACATTACAGAACATAACCTGATGTGATGGGAGCACATTACAGAACATAACCTGATGTGATGGGAGCATGTTACAGAACATAACCTGATGTGATGGAAACATGTTACAGAACATAACCTGATGTGATGGGAGTATATTACAGAACATAACCTGATGTGATGGGAGCATGTTACAGAACATAACCTGATGTGATGGGAGCACATTACAGAACATAACCTGATGTGATGGGAGCACATTACAGAACATAACCTGATGTGATGGGAGCACATTACAGAACATAACCTGATGTGATGGGAGCATGTTACAGAACATAACCTGATGTGATGGGAGCATGTTACAGAACATAACCTGATGTGATGGGAGGATGTTACAGAACATAACCTGATGTGATGGGAGCATGTTACAGAACATAACCTGATATGATGGGAGCATGTTACAGAACATAACCGGATGTGATGGGAGCATATTACAGAACATACCCTGAGGTGATGGGAGCATGTTACAGAACATAACCTGATGTGATGGGAGCATGTTACAGATCATAACCTGATGTGATGGGAGCATGTTACAGAATATAAAATGATGTTGTGATGGGAGCACATTACAGAACATAACTTGATGTGATGGAAGCATGTTACAGAATATAACCTGATGTGATAGGAGCATGTTACAGAACAAAACCTGATGTAATGGGAGCCTGTTACAGAACAAAACCTGATGTAATGGGAGCCTGTTACAGAACATAACCTGATGTAATGGGAGCATGTTACAGAACAAAACCTGGTGTGATGGGAGCACATTACAGAACATAACCTGATGTGATGGGAGCACATTACAGAACATAACCTGATGTGATGGGAGCACATTACAGAACATAACCTGATGTGATGGGAGCATGTTACAGAACATAACCTGATGTGATGGGAGCACATTACAGAACATACCCTGATGTGATGGGAGTATGTTACAGAACATACCCTGATGTGATGGGAGCATGTTACAGAACATACCCTGATGTAATAGGATCATGTTACAGAACATAACCTGATGTAATGGGAGCCTGTTACAGAACATAACCTGATGTGATGGGAGTATATTACAGAACATACCCTGATGTGATGGGAGCATGTTACAGAACATACCCTTATGTAATAGGAGCATGTTACAGAACATACCCTGATGTAATGGGAGCCTGTTACAGAACATAACCTGGTGTGATGGGAGCATGTTACAGAACATAACCTGATGTGATGGGAGCATGTTACAGAACATAACCTGATGTGATGGGAGCATGTTACAGAACAAAACCTGGTGTGATGGGAGCATGTTACAGAACAAAACCTGGTGTGATAGGAGCATGTTACAGAACATAACCTGATGTGATGGGAGCATGTTACAGAACATAACCTGATGTAATAGGAGCATGTTACAGAACATAACCTGATGTAATAGGAGCATGTTACAGAACATAACCTGATGTAATAGGAGCATGTTACAGAACATACCCTGATGTGATGGGAGCATGTTACAGAACATAACCTGATGTAATAGGAGCATGTTACAGAACATAACCTGATGTAATAGGAGCATGTTACAGAACATAACCTGATGTGATGGGAGCATGTTACAGAACATAACCTGATGTGATGGGAGCACATTACAGAACATAACCTGATGTGATGGGAGCATGTTACAGAACATAACCTGATGTGAAAGGAGCATGTTACAGAACATAACCTGATGTGATGGGAGCACATTACAGAACATAACCTGATGTGATAGGAGCACATTACAGAACATAACCTGATGTGATGGGAGCACATTACAGAACATAACCTGATGTGATGGGAGCATGTTACAGAACATAACCTGAACGAACGAACGAATGAACAAACTTTATTTTCAAAGGGTTACAAATTGGGCACGCAGGCCCGTCTGACATTCGGCCCTTTTAAGCACTCGTTTTTCAGAGTACCACTGCCTGTTATCTAAAATGCATGTTATGGATAAAGAATAAAAATATACATTATAGAATATAATACATACAACATGTGTACACAGTCTTACACACTCTCCCATTCTCATATATGCACACTCATATACTGACATACCTAGCACATACAAATATGTGACATCCATCCATCCATCCATACATACATACATACAAACATACATAAACGCATCTACATATATACACAAACAGAAAAGACACACACATACATATATGGACATATATGCACACACACATTCCATACATACACACCTACACATACATGCATGCATACACACACATACAATCACATGTACAGACATCCACAACTACACATTTACACTCGCATGTAAGCATACATACACACATCAATACATACACCTACATCATTACACACATACATGCTTACATACCTAAATACACACATGTACACCCACATACTTATACATCTACAAATGCATACACACATCCACAAACATGCACACATACACACACCCACATACATGCCGACACACATTACATACATACTCACACATGCATGCATACACACATATATTATCACCCATACAGATACTCACACACATACATACACTCATGCATACATACATACTTGCCTACATTATGTACACACATACCCACAATCACACATACACTCACATACAGTCACACATACTTACAACATATATACATAAATACACACACATACAAACTTAAATATACATTTATCTCATATCCACATGCATGCATTCATACATATATGCACACTACTCACAACCCTAAATATACCTGGATAGGAGCATGTTACAGAACATAACCTGGTGTGATGTGAGAATGTTACAGAACAAAACCTGATGTGATAGGAGCATATTACAGAACATAACCTGATGTAATGGGAGCCTGTTACAGAACAAAACCTGATGTAATGGGAGCCTGTTACAGAACATAACCTGATGTAATGGGAGCATGTTACAGAACAAAACCTGGTGTGATGGGAGCACATTACAGAACATAACCTGATGTGATGGGAGCACATTACAGAACATAACCTGATGTGATGGGAGCACATTACAGAACATAACCTGATGTGATGGGAGCATGTTACAGAACATAACCTGATGTGATGGGAGCACATTACAGAACATACCCTGATGTGATGGGAGCATGTTACAGAACATACCCTGATGTAATGGGAGCATGTTACAGAACATACCCTGATGTAATAGGATCATGTTACAGAACATAACCTGATGTAATGGGAGCCTGTTACAGAACATAACCTGATGTGATGGGAGTATATTACAGAACATACCCTGATGTGATGGGAGCATGTTACAGAACATACCCTTATGTAATAGGAGCATGTTACAGAACATACCCTGATGTGATGGGAGCCTGTTACAGAACATAACCTGGTGTGATGGGAGCATGTTACAGAACATAACCTGATGTGATGGGAGCATGTTACAGAACATAACCTGATGTGATAGGAGCATGTTACAGAACAAAACCTGGTGTGATGGGAGCATGTTACAGAACAAAACCTGGTGTGATAGGAGCATGTTACAGAACATAACCTGATGTGATGGGAGCATGTTACAGAACATAACCTGATGTAATAGGAGCATGTTACAGAACATAACCTGATGTAATGGGAGCATGTTACAGAACATAACCTGATGTGATGGGAGCATGTTACAGAACATAACCTGATGTAATAGGAGCATGTTACAGAACATAACCTGATGTGATGGGAGCATGTTACAGAACATAACCTGATGTAATGGGAGCATGTTTCAGAACATACCCTGATGTGATAGGAGCATGTTACAGAACATACCCTGATGTGATAGGAGCATGTTACAGAACATACCCTGATGTGATAGGAGCATGTTACAGAACATAACCTGATGTGATGGGAGCACATTACAGAACATAACCTGATGTGATGGGAGCATGTTACAGAACATAACCTGATGTGATAGGAGCATGTTACAGAACATAACCTGATGTGATGGGAGCACATTACAGAACATACCCTGATGTGATAGGAGCATGTTACAGAACATACCATGATGTGATAGGAGCATGTTACAGAACATACCCTGATGTGATAGGAGCATGTTACAGAACATACCCTGATGTGATGGGAGCATGTTACAGAAAATAACCTGATGTGATGGGAGCATGTTACAGAACATAACCTGATGTGATGGGAGCATGTTACAGAACATACCCTGATGTGATAGGAGCATGTTACAGAACATACCCTGATGTGATAGGAGCATGTTACAGAACAAAACCTGATGTAATGGGAGCATGTTACAGAACAAAACCTGATGTGATGGGAGCATGTTACAGAACATAACCTGATGTGATGGGAGCATGTTACAGAACATAACCTGATGTGATGGGAGCATGTTACAGAACATAACCTGATGTGATGGGAGCATGTTACAGAACATAACCTGGTGTGATGGGAGCATGTTACAGAACATAACCTGATGTGATAGGAGCATGTTACAGAACATAACCTGATGTGATAGGAGCATGTTACAGAACAACCTGGTGTGATGGGAGCATGTTACAGAACATAACCTGATGTGATGGGAGCATGTTACAGAACATAACCTGATGTGATGGGAGCATGTTACAGAACATAACCTGATGTGATGGGAGCATGTTACAGAACATAACCTGATGTGATGGGAGCATGTTACAGAACATAACCTGATGTGATGGGAGCATGTTACAGAACATAACCTGATGTGATGGGAGCATGTTACAGAACATAACCTGATGTGATGGGAGCATGTTACAGAACATAACCTGATGTGATGGGAGCATGTTACAGAACATAACCTGATGTGATGGGAGCATGTTACAGAATATAACCTGATGTGATGGGAGCATGTTACAGAACATAACCTGATGTGATGGGAGCATGTTACAGAACATAACCTGATGTGATAGGTGCATGTTACAGAACATAACCTGATGTGATGGGAGCATATTACAGAACATAATGTCATGTTGGGACCGCAGCATGTTACATAACTCTATTTCTGCCATAACAATCAGTGAAGAAATATGTTCACAAACCTAGCAGAATCAAACTTACCTTTAAGATTCCCAGGCGTACAAGACTTGCCTCAACCTCATTCACCCATTCCACCATCTGTACTCTGTGAGGTAGATTCATAAATAGGAAGCTCACAAACACACATACATTTATCTGAACATGCTTGAATATTAAAATTGCCATATATATTTCATCAAAAAGTTTCATATCAGAATAAACACATTTTATGTCATATGCATTGTTCGACATCAGTGCCTAATCTATTTGTCTGTCTGTGTCAGCAACCTTCTCTCTTCTCTACTGTAGGCCGATAAAAGACAAAAGTAACCTAAAAACATTCAAACCAAAGACCTGAAGAGCACCCACACAATCTTTGATGAACAAAAATCAATCCAAACTTGCAGTAAGCCTCAAAAAGTTGCGGGAGTACCTAATACCAAATTCTGTGTGAGCTTTTACATTCACTAGTCACGCCATGCCATTCCCAAGGATATACCCTACACCCACTTTACTCTTGTATAGTGCTAGCCAAGCCGCTGTCATCACCACAGGAGATTCTGAGGTGCACACAGGGTGAGTGGCCCAAATGTGAGCGGGCAGTGTTAACACCACAACCAATTCATGATAACTTCAACTAACTGCCTAAGAATTTGTGCAAACAATTCTAAAACACAGAATAATGCTATGCCCAAATAACTGCATCAAAACAACACTGTACAGAACGAATCACAGCTATGACCTAACCACAGATTCATTTACTGTCTGTCACTAACAGGGCGATAACACATTACATACTAATGGTCTGTGTCGCAAACAAGTCAAGCTCAAGTCCCCTACAGTCTGTCCAGAACTTGCTGTGTCCAAAGCTTTTGTTTCCCTGCATCATCCAACTCTTCTTGTAACCATTCATGTGTTTATGTTTAGTGTTCTGTCGTCACGACTTCTCCTGTGGCCGGTCTTGATAGTCTAACCTTGAGTTTTGTCTGGGTCACCTGGTATAAACATTAGTGATTAACATCAACATAGCTTCTCATGCCATATGATGAACTGGCACCTGACAGTCTGCCTGTCTAGGAGTCTATACACACTATATGCCAGTCCATCTATGTAACCTGTCTGTCTGTCTGTCTAGGAGTCTATCCACACTATATACCAGTCCATTTATGTAACCTGTCAGTCTGTCTAGGAGTCTCTCCACACTATATACCAGTCCATCTATGTAACCTGTCAGTCAGTCTGTCTAGGAGTCTCTCCACACTATATACCAGTCCATCTATGTAACCTGTCAGTCAGTCTGTCTAGGAGTCTATCCACACTATATACCAGTCCATCTATGTAACCTGTCTGTCTGTCTAGGAGTCTATCCACACTATATACCAGTCCATCTATGTAACCTGTCTGTCTGTCTATGAGTCTATCCACACTATATACCAGTCCATCTATGTAACCTGTCTGTCTGTCTGTCTAGGAGTATCCACACTATATACCAGTCCATCTATGTAACCTGTCTGTCTAGGAGTCTATCCACACTATATACCAGTCCATCTATGTAACCTGTCTGTCTGTCTGTCTAGGAGTCTATCCACACTATATACCAGTCCATCTATGTAACCTGTCTGTCTGTCTGTCTAGGAGTCTATCCACACTATATACCAGTCCATCTATGTAACCTGTCTGTCTGTCTGTCTAGGAGTCTATCCACACTATATACCAGTCCATCTATGTAACCTGTCTGTCTGCCTGTCTGTCTAGGAGTCTATCCACACTATATACCAGTCTATTTATGAAACCTGTCAGTCTGTCTAGGAGTCTATCCATACTATATACCAGTCCATTTATGTAACCTGTCTGTTTGTCTGGGAGTCTATCCACACTATATACCAGTCCATCTATGTAACCTGTCAGTCAGTCTAGGAGTCTATCCACACTATATACCAGTCCATCTATGTAACCTGTCTGTCTAGGAGTCTATCCACACTATATACCAGTCCATCTATGTAACCTGTCTGTCTGTCTGTCTAGGAGTCTATCCACACTATATACCAGTCCATCTATGTAACCTGGCAGTCTGTCTAGGAGTCTATCCACACTATATACCAGTCCATCTATGTAACCTGTCTGTCTGTCTGTCTAGGAGTCTATCCACACTATATACCAGTCCATCTATGTAACCTGTCAGTCTGTCTGTCTAGGAGTCTATCCACACTATATACCAGTCCATCTATGTAATCTGTCAGTCTGTCTAGGAGTCTATCCACACTATATACCAGTCCATCTATGTAACCTGTTTGTCTGTCTGTCTAGGAGTCTATCCACACTATATACCAGTCCATCTATGTAACCTGTCTGTCTAGGAGTCTATCCACACTATATACCAGTCCATCTATGTAACCTGTCTGTCTGTCTAGGAGTCTATCCACACTATATACCAGTCCATCTATGTAACCTGTCTGTCTGTCTAGGAGTCTATACACACTATATACCAGTCCATCTATGTAACCTGTCTGTCTGTCTGTCTAGGAGTCTATCCACACTATATACCAGTCTATTTATGTAACCTGTCAGTCTGTCTATGAGTCTATCCACACTATATACCAGTCCATCTATGTAACCTGTCTGTCTGTCTAGGAGTCTATCCACACTATATACCAGTCCATCTATGTAACCTGTCTGTCTGTCTGTCTAGGAGTCTATCCACACTATATACCAGTCCATTTATGTAATCTGTCAGTCTGTCTGTCTAGGAGTCTATCCACAATATTTACCAGTCCATCTATGTAACCTGTCTGTCTGTCTGGGAGTCTATCCACACTATATACCAGTCCATCTATGTAACCTGTCTGTCTGTCTAGGAGTCTATCCACACTATATACCAGTCCATCTATGTAACCTGTCAGTCTTTCTGTCTAGGAGTCTATCCACACTATATACCAGTCCATCTATGTAACCTGTCTGTCTGTCTGGGAGTCTATCCACACTATATACCAGTCCATCTATGTAACCTGTCAGTCTGTTCACATAACTGTCAATGTCATGACAGCACCTTCAGTATCTCAAGGTGCTACTAGTCTCAATGCCATCCAGTCATGACAGAACACATGTGGATACAACTAAGATGTCACACGTGGACTCACTAGTCATACAGGTGTGAGATGGGGAGATCACTAGCTGAGATTTAGAGGACACTGACATAGTTATGGTGAACATTGACATAGATGTGATGAACATTGACAGAGTTGTGGTGAACATTGACATAGATGTGATGAACATTGACAGAGTTGTGGTGAACATTGACATAGATGTGATGAACATTGACAGAGTTGTGGTGAACATTGACATAGATGTGATAAACATTGACAGAGTTGTGGTGAACATTGACAGAGTTGTGGTGAACATTGACATAGATGTGGTGAACATTGACAGAGTTGTGGTGAACACTGACAGAGTTGTGGTGAACACTGACATAGATGTGATGAACAATGACAGAGTTGTGGTGAACACTGACATAGATGTTATGAAAATTGACATAGATGTTATGAAAATTGACATAGATGTTATGAACATTGACAGAGTTGTGGTGAACATTGACAAAGTTGTGGTGAACACTGACATAGATGTTTTGAACATTGACAGAGTTGTGGTGAACATTGACAGAGATGTTGTGAACACTGACAGAGATGTGGTGAACAAAGACAGAGTTGTGGGAACACTGACAGAGATGTGGGAACACTGACAGAGATGTGGGAACATTGACAGAGATGTGGTGAACAATGACAGAGTTGTGGGAACACTGACAGAGATGTGGGAACACTGACAGAGATGTGGGAACATTGACAAAGATGTGGTGAACATTGACAGAGATGTGGGAACACTGACAGAGTTGTGGTGAACACTGACAGAGTTGTGGTGAACACTGACAGAGTTGTGGGAACACTGACAGAGTTGTGGGAACACTGACAGAGTTGTGGGATCACTGACAGAGTTGTGGGAACACTAACAGAGATGTGGTGGAAACTGACAGAGTTGTGGTGGACATTTATAGAGTTGTGCGAACACTGACAGAGTTGTGGGAACAATGACAGAGTTGTGGGAACAATGACAGAGTTGTGGTAACACTGACAGAGTTGTGGGAATACTGACAGAGTTGTGGGAACAATGACAGAGTTGTGGAAACATTGACAGAGTTGTGGGAACACTGACAGAGTTGTGTGAACACTAACAGAGATGTGGTGGACATTGACAGAGTTGTGTGAACACTGTCAGAGTTGTTGGAACACTGACAAAGTTGTGTGAACACTGACAGAATTGTAGGAACACTGACAGAATTGTGGGAACACTGACAGAGTTGTGGGAACACTAACAGTGTGACAAATCAACGGAATATTTCAGTCTGGCAAGAGTTTATTGCATCTTGTCAGTTAAAACAATTGCGCACTTTCAATAAATATAGATGCAGGAATAGTAGTAAATGTATGAGGGCGTTAGGAAGCACATAAATTATGATGTTTTTTCTTAGTTACTACTAGGAGACTAACACCTAGAGCTAGTCATTTGTTGCTACACAAAACGACCGCCCCACCCTTTCCATGGGCTAAAAAGAAATAATAATAATACGAATTCTGGTGAGATTTATAATGGTAGGGAGTGGCTGAAATTCCCTGTAAACCCTGGCTGTATCTTGAAATATTTTATCCGGATCCTACATGTATTCCGTGACCTCATCAACCTTGATACTTGTCCGTTGGACAATGGTTCCCTATAACATCATGGATTGTTAACAACACTGTAGAATGGAGATCCGAAATTAATTGAACAGACTACCTGTTGAAGACAGCCAATAACTACCATTTTTGCCAGTATATTGTCCATACCACAGGGGAATGCTGTATTCCACTCGAACGATCCTAGAGCTGAGTGACGTTTAGATTCATTTGGATTTTTTTTTCAGTGTTATATGATGTTATCCTTTTATAGTTAAATAATTTAAAGGGATGTTCTAGGCTGTGTTATGTCAATAAATTTGTTGATTTAGTATAACTCAACTAGTTGATTACTGTAATGTTGTGAATTCCCGGGGAAATCCCAGAGAGTTCCCGATGGGGAGGACAAGGTCGGAGGACCAGTGATAGAAGAGAAAAATGGGATAAGTGGGTCTCGTGTATCTCATGGGGAGCAAAGTGAGGGACACAAGAAAAGCATGAGATGTGAACGGAAGATGTGAACCGGGAGACAGAAGTAAGACAGTTGAAGTTCGGCCCTGACTGAGAGGGGTCGCATGAGTGGACGCTTGAGAAGAATGAACGAATTGTGAAACGAGTGTAATATTTCAATAGGAGGACTGAATGTTTTTCCACACGTCTTAATGTCAGGTACCAGGGTTCGTGAAGGATGGATGGATGATTCGAGAGACGTTGACGGATTCATGTGGTGTAAAAGAAGTCCGACCAGGTCGCTAGATTCAGCCAAGCAAGACGATCACGAGGACGCGAGAATGTGTGTATGCGATAATTGGCGATTAAACGAATAAAAGCAAGGAACTAAAGATTCGTTCATGTTGTGTCGTTACAACTAACTATTCGTCTGAAAGCAATGTAAACAACACATGCCCCTAGCAGAGCATATTGCAATTATATCAATTGGTATCTGTTTAGATTCCTTGTTTGATAAGGAATTCTACTCGCTGATTACCTCGAGTTCAGCTAGGAATGTATTAAACTTTCACAAGTTTATTTAGAAGAATATATATTTATTCAGTTCTTTTCTGGGGATTCACCCTATTAGTATGATTATCTGTATTTCCCTTCCTTTTTATGAACTCAGGGACCAATAAAATTCCCCTAGACATTCTTATTTCGAGCCCTGTAAAACATTTAGGAAGGATTATAAGGGATCTCCAGGCGAAGATAAATTCTGCCAAACTAGCTTATGACAATGACAAACCAACAAAATATTTCAGTCTGGCAAGAGTTTATTGCATCTTGTCAGTTAAAACAATTGCGCACTTTCAATAAATATAGATGTGGGAATAGTAGTAAATGTATGAGGGCGTTAGGAAGCACATAAATTATGATGTTTTTTCTTAGTTACTACTAGGAGACTAACCCTTAGAGCTAGTCATTTGTTGCTACACAAAAGACCGCCCCAGGCTTTCCATCAGCTTAGCTAAAAGGAAATAATAATAATACGAATTCATGTGAGACTTATAATTTATACACTGACAAAGTTGTGTGAACACTGACAGAGTTGTGGGAACACTGACAGAGTTGTGGGAGCACTGACAGAGGTGGGAACACTGACAGAGTTGTGGGAACACTAACAAAGATGTGGCGGACATTGACAGAGTTGTGGGAACACTGACAAAGTTTTGTGAACACTGACATTACCCACCTTGAGGAAGCCACCAGCTCGATAACCCGGTCGGGACATACGATACAGAATGAAGGTGGGTTACTGTTGCCCATGGACCTGACATTCTGACAATGGGACAGGTTGAAAGAGTTGATGGGCTGTTGTGTGAAGACATCCACATCGCTGTCGTAGTACTCCAGGAAAGGGACACCTCTTCGGATGGTGAACACAAACCACTTGTTGACATCGTTTCTCTGCAGAAACAGATTCCATAGAAATACCTTACTGGGGTGATAGAGAGTAGAAACCTTAAAGGAATGAGATAGACCTATAGACATCTATTACTGAAACTCCAAAGAAATAAGACATAGAAAGAACAAACTTAATTTTCAAAGGGTTACAAAGATTGATCAGCTTTAGACTATTCATGTTAGTCTGATAGCCAGAGATGTCAGATGTAGAAACTCTAGATAATTGAAACAGACAGAGATCAGATGTAGAAACTCTAGATAATTCAGACAGACGGGGATCAGATGTAGAAACTCTAGATAATTCAGATAGACAAAGAAATCAGATGTATAAACTCTAGATAACTCAGACAGACAGAGATCAGATGTAGAAACTCTAGATAATTCAGACAAAGAGATCAGATATAGAAACATTAGATAATTCAGATAGACAGAGAGAGATCAAATGTAGAAACTCTAGATAATTCAGACAAAGAGATCAGATGTAGAAACATTAGATAATTCAGATAGACAGAGAGAGATCAGATGTAGAAAATCTAGATAATTCAGATAGACAGATAGATCAGATGTAGAAACTCTAGATAATACAGACAAAGAGATCAGTTGTAGAAACTCTAGATAATTCAGACAGATAAAGAGATCAGATACAGAAACTCTATGCAAGTCAGACAGACAGAATGATCAGATGCAGAAACTATATGCAAGTCAGACAGTGAGGTAAACTGGATGTAGAAATTATATGTAAGTAAGACAGACAGATTAAACGTAGAAACGCTGAGGAAAGCAGTGAGCTTTAAAGATATAGGACAGGTAGTCACAGCTTTTGAAGACAGCACAGAAAGTCACTCTTCACCTTCCTCACCTGGATCTTTACAGTTGGACATGTCTAATAAAAAAAGTAATAAACGAGCAGACCAACTAGACACCAGACAACTGTGTGTGGGAAAACATATGGATAGAGCTAACATGCTATACAACTAGGCTGGATAATGATGAGTCTCTGATGCTAACATGATTAGGTGAGCTAGGAGTAAAGCCTGGTGAAGCATTTCTTTGCTGTCCCTGAGGCTAAGAAGATAAGCAACATTATTACCAACTGCTCGTGGGAACAGTCAGTAGAAGTACCTTGGAGTGGCTGCTGCATGAGAGAGCTGAGCACATATGAGAATGCCTGGTGTGCAGTGATGTCAATAGTGATTACATAATATAGTGGCAAAAAAAAAAAAAAGATAAATTATTTAGTTCTAATCACTAGCTTCAGAGACAAAAAATGATTCACTGTCAATGATACACTGTCAATGATACACTGTCAATGATACACTGTCAATGATACACTGTCAATGATACACTGTCAATGATACACTGTCAATGATACACTGTCAATGATTCACTGTCATGTCTACACCAACAGAAACAAAAACAAACTTGGTCTCAAGTACCATGATTCTCTACCAACAAATGAGAAAGACAGATACACAAGAAGAAACTCACCCTAAACAAGACAGACTCACAAAAAAAGACACACAAGGACAAACTCACCCTAAACAAGACAGACTCATAAGACAAGACACACAAGGACAAACTCATCCTAAACAAGACAGACCCATAAGACAAGACACACAAGGACAAACTCATCCTAAACAAGACAGACTCATAAGACAAGACACACAAGGACAAGCTCACCCTAAACAAGACAGAATCACAAGAAAAGACACACAAGGACAAACTCACCCTAAACAAGACAGACTCACAAGAAAAGACACACAAGGACAAACTCACCCTAAACAAGACAGACTCACAAGAAAAGACACACAAGGAAAAACTACCCCTAAACAAGACAGACTCACAAGACAAGACACACAAGGACAAACTCACCCTAAACAAGACAGACAAACGATTGGCTCCATAATGTCCTTTCTTTAAGTATCCTTGTTTGACAACATTTTCAATATTTTGAGACATCATCTGTGGGAAGATACACATCAAAAACCATCAAATACACACACATCTGGTGACATCAGTACACATCAAGACAACCACACACATCTGGTGACATCAGTACACATCAAGACAACCACACACATCTGGTGACATCAGTACACATCAAGACAACCACACACATCTGGTGACATCAGTACACATCAAGAAAACCACACACATCTGGTGACATCAGTACACATCAAGACAATCAAGACAACCACACACATCTGGTGACATCAGTACACATCAAGACAACCACACACATCTGGTGACATCAGTACACATCAAGACAACCACACACATCTGGTGACATCAGTACACATCAAGACAACCACACACATCTGGTGACATCAGTACACATCAAGACAACCACACACATCTGGTGACATCAGTACACATCAAGACAACCACACACATCTGGTGACATCAGTACACATCAAGACAACCACACACATCTGGTGACATCAGTACACATCAAGACAACCACACACATCTGGTGACATCAGTACACATCAAGACAACCACACACATCTGGTGACATCAGTACACATCAAGACAACCACACACATCACACAGTACACATCAAGACAACCACACACATCTGTGACATGGTGACATCAGTACACATCAAGACAACCACACATCTGGTGATCTGGTGACATCAGTACACATCAAGACAACCACACACATCTGGTGACATCAGTACACATCAAGACAACCACACACATCTGGTGACATCAGTACACATCAAGACAACCACACACATCTGGTGACATCAGTACACATCAAGACAACCACACACATCTGGTGACATCAGTACACATCAAGACAACCACACACATCTGGTGACATCAGTACACATCAAGACAACCACACACATCTGGTGACATCAGTACACATCAAGACAACCACACACATCTGGTGACATCAGTACACATCAAGAAAACACACACATCACATCTGGTGACATCAGTACACATCAAGACAACCACACACATCTGGTGACATCAGTACACACATCAAGACAACCACACATCACATCCACACACATCTGGTGACATCAGTACACATCAAGACAACCACACACATCTGGTGACATCAACCACCACACATCTGGTGACATCAGTACACATCAAGAAAACACACACATCAATAACGACCACACAAATAAATCTGTCAAATACACATCCAAATATCCCTACCAATAGTTGTTGACATCGCTGACTGGAATCAAAACACCAACCATCATCAGTTTTCAGACACAGCCAGCATCATTCTGCCAAGAATGCAGATCTGGGAAAATCAAGTTTGTTATAGAGCTGCTTCTGTGGTAACTGATCTACCATAGATGATATTCTCATGATGACAGTTGAAGACAAGTACAGTGAACGCCATCAACCACTCTACTTTAGTTTGTCATTGCACTTGGTTAGACAGAAAGGTTTGTTCAAGATACCCAAGAAGGTTGGTTGTCCATTAACCTTACAGAGACAGTAATTCCAGCATGAAGAAGACATGGCAAGGCGGCCTCTGGCAGGACACTAGCCCCTTTATAATGTCTACAGGTGCCAGAGGGGAGCTCAAATTGGTTAAGCCTAGTTTAACTGTGCAAAATAATAATTATGATGTTCTGAAAAGCTAATAAATACAAAAATACAGTGCAGACCACTAAAGGTAATCTCAGGTGTGGTGAAGAACAACTGGTTTATCCCTGCCCATTTTTTCTTGCTTCAATTCTGGATTAGAGGAATTTCTGTTGTGAAGAACAACTGGTTTACCTCCAGCCATTTTTCTAGCTTCAATGTGTATCTAGATAAAAGGAATTTGTGATAAAAAGAACTACTTCTTCAGTCCCAAGTACAGAGCATCAATATGCACAGCATCAATGTACACAACATCAACGTACACAGCATCAACACAACATGAATGTACACAACATCAGTGTACACAACATCAATGTACACAACATCAATGTACACAGCGTCAATGTACACAACATCAATGTACACAACATCAATGTACACAACATCAATGTGTACAACACATACACACTAGTTACACAATTGTACCCACTAGTTACATAATCATGCACACTAGTTAGTTACACAATCGTACACAATAGTTATATAATCAGACTCACTAGTTAGTTACACAATCGTACACACTAGTTACATAATCATACACACTACTTAGTTACACAATCATACACACTAGTTACACAATTGTACCCACTAGTTACATAATCATGCACACTAGTTAGTTACACAATCGTACACACTAGTTATATAATCATACTCACTAGTTAGTTACACAATTGTACACACTAGTCACATAATCATATACACTAATTAGTTACACAATTTTACACACTAGTTACACAATTGTACACACTAGTTACACATTTGTACACACTAGTAAGTTACACAATCGTACACACTAGTTACACAATCGTACACACAAGATACATAATCATACACACTAGTTAGTTACACAATCATACACACTAGTTACACAATCGTACACACTAGTTACACAATCGTACACACTAGTTACACAATCGTACACACTAGTGACACACCCATAAACACTACTTACACAATCGTACACACTAATTAGTTACACAATCGTACACACTAGTTACACAATCGTACACATTAGTTACACACCCATACACACCATTTACACAATCGTACACACTAGTTAGCTACACAATCATACACACTATTTAGTTACACAATCGTACACACTAATTACATAATCATACACACTAGTTACATAATCGTACACACTAGTTACACAATCATACACACTAGTTACACAATCGTACACACTAGTTAGATAATCATACACACTAGTTAGTTAGACAATTGTACACACTAGTTACA